GGAGAATTTCGATCTGATTTGGGCAATCAGTCGATAAAGAAGATGTCACCTCCTATGATCGGGGAGGTACTGATTATGTACGTGTGAAAAAAAAATGAGGAGCATGATGTTTTAGTTTTGGGTTTAGGGGTAAACCCTGCAGGTCGTCATTGACGATGATTTCCCACCAGAGTATCAGGTAGCATGTGTGCCGCGAGGCAGTGATCTATCATGAGCAGATAGTCAGTTGGGACTAAGATAGTCGAGGGCCACGCTATACCTAATTGGGTTTAGTCGGGTGTACGGTAGTGGTATCAGCGGGGAGTTCAGTCGAGTTCAGCGGTGCCGAGAGTTTTCTATCCATGGGGTGTTGAATTTGGGAGTGGGTTCCTGTTCTTGGGATGATCCCGGTGTTGGAGCGTTGGTTAATGAGTTGAGGTGAGGGTATGATGGTTTTATGGTTCAGTCTATGAGCCAGGGATGTTATCGAGCAGTTGAGTTGTTTGGTACTAAATTGGTACGAGATTTGGAACGGCTAGAGGCAGACGTGACGAGAAGTTCTTGAGGAGTTCACCAGAGGTTCAGAGTATATGAGGTCGATTCATTTCCTTAAGGGGGATTATTGGGTGTTGTGTAGCACTTTCCGGGGGCAGGTGCGATTTTGCTGGAGAATATAGTTATGGGTTAGTTGCGTGCTATTTGGTGATGGTTCGAACCCTAAGTGGGGGAGAACCGGGTGCCGTATGTAAGAAAGAAGAGATTTGTCAAGAGCAGGTATAAGAGTATATAGATATGCGGTAAGAAATCATGAGACCAGAGATGTCGGTGATCGAGGAAAGGGGTCAGAGTGAGTCAATGCGGGAAGTACTTGTTTGAAAAGGATGAATGTCTCCACGATAGGTGTTTATTAGTCAGGAATCTGGTATTGGTCGGTGTTGGGGCAAGTAGATAAAGAATGATTGGGCAGCCAACTCCCGGGTGGGAAAAAGGGTTTCGGAGAATTATCAGCGTATTTCGTAGCGTTAGCGTTTCTTCGTATTTCAATTGAGAAATTGAATACACCGAAGTTTCAACTTGAGAAAAATGAAGATCTAGTTATGGGGTTCAGAGGGAATGTATTATTGCATCTATATGGTGCTTGGGGCAGGAGATCTGTGGTTGTGGCAGGATCTTGTGATGTTCGGTGGGGGTGTTCCGAGGTATCCGGGTATTGATATCTTTATTTCGAAGTTATTCGTGAATCTTGAGTTGAGACGACTTGTGGTATATCAGGTATCTATGGAACTAGTGATAGCCCTTCGAGTATGGGCATCCAGGGAGATTACTTGGGAGAGTGGATCTTCGCAAGGGTGGGCATCTGTTATGACGATTGCCTCCAGAGTCTGTGATGAATATTCGAGACGAGTATGGGTAGCCGCCTATGATAGTCTGTGGAGCACGAGCTAGTGGAGTCAGAGGGTGTTGTGATACTGCGGGGAGCCGTAGTACTCACTAGTCAGAGGGTGTTGTGATACTGCGGAGAGCCGTAGTACTCACTAGTCAGAGGGTGTTGTGATACTGCGGAGAGCCGTAGTACTCACTAGTCAGAGGGTGTTGTGATACTGCGGGGAGCCGTAGTACTCACTAGTCAGAGGGTGTTGTGATACCGCGGGGAGCCGTAGTGCTCACTAGATGGCAAGAGAGTGTGATGATGGAATGTTCTCCGATCAGTGTATGATGTGGAAGAGTTTTGGGCTTGAGTAGCCCTAGTATTGAGTTTTTGGAGCCTGGATGTTGGACCGGGGGCGAGACTGGGGTCCCCGTCTCTGTCGGGGAATGTGGTGAGATGGCAAGGGATATGCGCAGCAGAAACCAGAGATCAGAGTGGAGACGATCCTCGGTTGGATTGTACTTTCTTGCATAAGGAAAAGAGAATTTCGTGACTTGCGTGTCACGGGGCCGGGATAGTGGTCACGGGGAGGAAGTTAGTGGGATATTTGGATCATGATTTGGGTGACCTTTGGAGGCTCAGCTGTGGAGTCAAAAGCTGACCTGGTGCCCAGTCTCGAAGAGGGATATGTGATGAGCTAGAGCTTATCCTGATGATGTCGAGGACACCTCAGAGGGAGTGAACGATTCAGACGCTCAAAGACATGCTTCGGGCATGTGTATTAGATTTCGGAGGGTGTTGCGGCACGTATTTATCCTTGGTTGAGTTATCCTATTTCAACAGCCATCATTAGTGCATTGGTATGCCACCCTTTGTGCTGTTGTATGGGAGGAAGTGTCGGACCCTCATTTGCTGAGGAAAGTGTCGATTCGCGGAAGTGGAAGTTGTAGTGAGAATGGATGATTTGGAGTCTGATGGTCGAACATTGTGTCTGTGACAGTGGTATGGAATGACATCATGATGGGATGTCTGCTGAGGATGCGGAAGGGATTCCGCGGGTGTAGAGCCAAGAGTCTCAGGATGGATGTAGGGATGGAGTCTGGGACTCCCAGCTTGATTCTGATCAAGGGTCGTGTGCGTAGTGGTGGTGTCTCCTGGGGACGTTAGAGATGTCATCAGTGCGACGGGTTCTCCTAACCCGAGAGTGCGAAGGTTGGTGCGGCTTGGGTGCTTGAGTGCAAGAAGAGGACTCATGAGATTTGCTCTGGGATTGAAGAGTGGGCCTTTCTGTCGTCACGGATTGGATAGGATGGGATTTGGATCGGGGATCCGATGGTTCATGGCTTCTAACCCTTATGGGTCAAGTGATTGTTGAGATTTGGATCAGTGATGCTTCATGGGTAATTCTCGGATCGTTGAGTGTGGTTATCTGAGGGTACATCCGGTGCCCGGTTCGAGACAGTGGTCAGGACACCGTAAGGAAAGGGAAAGTGTGTTCGAGTTTCGATGGGTATGCCTTGTAAGAGCGGGTCCGATTAAGGCCAGGTGGCACGTTGTGGAGTATTTCTGGAGTTGAGTTGTTGTAGGCTTCGAGGGCGAAGCCTAATTTAAGTGGGGGAGAATTGTAACATCCCGAAATATCAAGAGTAGAGTTGAAGGGCTAAAAGAGTAAATTGGGAAAGAGTGACTCGGCGAGTCCATGTGCGGACTCGGCGAGTAGAGTCGCGACCTGGTCGCGTGTTAAGTGGCCGACTCGGCGAGTCAGTGTAATGGACTCGGCGAGTAGGCGCTGAGTGGAGAAAACCCTAATTCTCGGGGTTGAGCCTTATATAAAGATCACTATGTTTTCCTCCCAGCCTCTTTATCACCCCTTGAGCCCCAGAAAACCCTAAATCACGGAGAAGCACCATTGTTGAGTGGATTGGAGCTTGGAGAAGTAATGGTTGAAGGAATTTTGGGAAGATTGAAGGCTTGGAGCAAGGGGATTTGCTTGGATTCGAATTTCATTGCAGTTGGGGCATCACTTAGAGGTAATATCTCGTTATTGACCTGTTGTTATGTTGTTTCTTCATTTTGGGGTTTGTGAGAAATTGTCTATGGATGAAATGGGAAGTCTAGAGGTTAGATCTGAGGTTGCTACCTCAGATCTGGAAGGGAGAAGAATCAGAGAGCATGAAAGTCCCTGTGTTGGAGTGTTTAGTGAAGCTTACATGTCCCAAACCCTAGCCCCAATGTGCAAACGGCTTAGATCTCTTTGGATTCACGTAAAGTTTGCCACTTTACGTGATGGATGGGTTGTAGGAGGCTAGATCTATGTTTGGATCAATTGCATGGCCTGGAGTGCTTCTGAATGGATTCAGAACGGTGGTACTCGGCGAGTCACATGGGTCGACTCGACGAGTTGCTTGAAGATGGCCTGGAACTCGACGAGTTGGAAGAACAACTCGGCGAGTAGGTTGAAGATAGCCTTGGACTCGACGAGTCTTGTCGAAGAGTCCCAAATATTCTCTGGTTGAGCCGAGAATCGGTGAGTCGAGGGATGACTCGGTGAGTCGAGTGCGAGTGGACTCAGAGTTGTTGGACTCGGCGAGTCTCGGGGTGACTCGGCGAGTTAGGTCGCAGATTGAATGAAGTTCTGATTATGGGAACTCGACGAGTCACAGGGTTGACTCAGCGAGTAGGGTCAGTCAGGGGTTGACCTAGACTGAGGACTTTGATTTCGACCAAGGGTTGGTTGTTGACTTTTAGGGTTTGGTCAGCAATGTGGCCTTTGGGCCAAGAGAGAGGTAAAATAGTCTTTTAACCATAAGAGGGTGTTATGAGAGGATTTATTCTAGTCTCGGGAATTATATTCATGAGAGTATTTGCCTTACGTGTTAGGCGGTGGCGAGTGCGAGATTCAATTGTGGGGATATCTGCTTCTTGCTTGCCAGGTGAGTCTTCTCACTATACTTTACCTTGAGTAGGTAACCAGAGTTATGTGATTAGAGTATTTGTATGCTATATGTACGTGATGTGTTGTACTGCATAATTTCTATGTGATTTATGTTGTGCATGTTTATAGAGTTGGAACCGGAAGGTTCCCAGAGTTAGAACCTGAGGGTTCACAGAGTTTGGGTGCACGGACCCACAGAGTTATAGCCTCGAGTGGCTAATATGTGTTATGTGTGGTATTTTGGGGAACTCACTAAGCTTCGTGCTTACAGTGTTTTGTTTGATGTTTTTCAGGTTTCTTTCAGTATCACGGGACGGCACCGGCTTGATTGTACACACCAGAGAAAGAGTCATATTTTGGAGGATCCTGGTTTTCTATGCAAGTGAAAATGGAGTTATGTTTTGTAAATCGACTATGAATAAGATTTTAAACAAGTGTTTCTAAGAGTAAAATGATTATTTTAAATGAAAAATTTGTCTTGAAATTTACGGTGTTACAACTGTGCATCCTTGTAGTTGTCAAGGCCAAAGGATATTATTGGCTCATGCCAGAGAACAATTGGCTCGTCGATTACACACCTATGAAGAGAGTCTTTTGTCCACACAGGGAACATAGACTTTTTTTCTTTAGGAGCTCCGCCTCCTTTCGCTTCATCTACAGCTCTACTTGCTGCTTCTTGATGTTTTCTTCCATTTCTTTTTTAGAAGTTTTAACCTGCTAGAAGGGATTCTTGGGATTTTCGACATAGACATCTTCTTGATTGTTTGTGTCGTCATTGCCGATTTTCTTCTTCTTTTTGTCTTTGTTGCTGACCGAAGCTTCATTACCCTTTGGTCCAGCAGATGGTCCAGCGGATGGATTTGATCCAGAAGGAGGAGGTTGCGATGTCACTTTCTCTCCCCCTTGTTTCGGTTGGACCCCGGTAACTGGAACACCTTCGATTCGGCTAAGAATATTCAACGTCGGTCTGAGCTTGTCTGCCAAATGACACCTGACAATGATAGTGATGACCGGATCATGAGACTCAATAAGATGAAGAAGGATGGAGTGAACATCTCCAGCAGAACTCCGAATGACTTCCCTTTCTTACTTGAGGTCATTAAGTTCAGCCTCAGCAGTACGTAGATTTTGAGTTTGCAATTTCAGCTGGGAGGTACGTCGGTCAAGCTCATCCATAATTCGATTCTCCACAGCTAACTCTGCTTCCAGTTGAGTTAAGCGATCGTTGAAATTAGCATGGAGCTTCTCGTTGGCTTGTTGAATGGCTTGGCGTGCTACTTCGAGGTTCGAACGCTTAGCTTGGAGAGACTGTTGAAGGTTCTCGACCGAAGCATTGACCATTTTAGCGTTTTTAGCAGTAGCACCCTACAAGGAATCTAGATATATGTGAGCTTTGGAGACTAGTTTATCGACTTTTGCGGTCGCATCCTTGCATTCCTTGGTAGAGGCATCAATAGCAAGGGAGGCCTGTTGACATTGGGAAGTAGAGGATGCTATTGCCTTGGCTGCATCAGACAGAGCAGTACTGTGTTCGGTGACAACCGAGGAGAACAAGGCCTTCAAGGCAACTTCAGAATTGGCACCAGAGGAAAGAGGAAGAGGATGAAAGCAACTTATCAAGCTTTTCGTTTACTGCCTTTATATGACGTTTGGTAATAGGCTCATGGTCATCATTATCGCTCTGCACTCTATAAGGACTGAAGTATGTGGAATCAAACTCCAAATCCTCACCACCCAGAATAGGGGTTGTTTCAGCAGATTGCGTGGGAGATTAGGGTTTGGAAGAAGGTGGAGGTTCGGATGTAACCGGAGGTTCGGTTGCAGGTGGATCAGGAACAATAGAGTGAGATTGTGTGGTAGTGGTGGTATCTGTGAAAATGGGAGTGGGAATAGGAATTGTAGTGGATGGTTGAGAGGTGGTAATTCGGATTGTTACAGGTGTAGGTGAAGGGGGATTGGAGCGAACTGGAATTTCTGGGGTAGGGGAGCGAGGCAGAGACATATTCTGAGTCGCTTGAAGATTGCAGAATAAGTCGCCGAGCGGGCTTCTTTTGCTTTTTCCGTTGAGCCTGAGAAGGGGCAGCTTTATTAGATTTTCGATTCTTGGGGGTTTGCCCCTTGGTTTGCTTAGTGACCTGTTTAGCCTTCTGTGTTTCAGGCTTCTTGCCCCTCTTGGCTGGCTTGTCAACCTCTTCAATGGACCGAACCATTGCCTGTGTGATCTCTCTAGAGCCAGCAGATGGATGCTTCCTGTATTTTTGTAGAACATTACTCGACTCAGAAATACGATTGAGCATTGGTTCAGGAATGGATCCAATAAACAAAAACTGCGATGGATCAATAATAATGATTTTCGTCGTATGAAAGGTAGCAATGGATGAGAGCAAGGAGTCCGCCATTATTGGAACACGAAGGTGGTCCATTACCCATTGGGTGATGATAGACCAAAAATGCCCACGTGAAATCTCAGAATGCCTGGATGAAGAAACCAGGCTTTGAACCAACTGCTGCCAGATGATGGACCCATAATCTAGGTCAATCCCATGGTACAACCCATACAGTACCGTCATGAAGGATTTGCTTGCACAATCGGAGCCGGCGCTTCTCTCAAATAGTCCCTTGAACAACAAAGTAAAAAGGCCATTCCATTGAGGAGGAAGGCATGACTTCTTGAACTTTGTAATGGTGGTTAGGGTTTCAGTATACCCCATCTGATAGAATATGGAAAACAATTGACTAGTTGTAATGGATTCAGGGTTTACTAGAGATGAATCTTGAGAAAGACCGATTAGAGCACATAATCGATGCTTGGAGATGGAGGTCTTCTCATTGTGGTGTTCAAAGTGAATGCGTTCATTAATCCTGTCATAGAAAGCAGTAGAGTAGACAAGAGACAGACACGACATGGGAACAACTTCAACTTTAGTCAGTGCATCGACGAGTGGTGAGTATTATAGACACTCAACCACATACAACATATACAGCTCATAGATGAATGGCGTAAGATCGATGATCAGATTCTGTTGGGGTTTGATGGTGAGAAGAGGTTGATGAACTGAAGTATCATGAACTGATGATGAGTCTACCATTGATGTAGCTTGAAGAAGATAATGAACAATTGCAGAGAATCATCGGGTTTCTTTAAGAGAATTTTGGAAGTGATAAAGTATGAGAGTGTACCGTTCCAATTCCTTTTATAGGTACAATGAGGAGAGAGAAAAATCTAGCTGAAATCTTGGAGTATCTCAGAAATAGCGCCTGAGTTGATGGGTCTACAGTTGGCATGTCGAGGATGATGTAGGACAGAGAAGAAACGTTTCCCTTTTTTCACGCCTTTTCATAAAATTCACTTTTTCAAATCGCCAAGACGTTTGGATAGTTGTTGAGTCAACGTCCACTGTATCCCAATTGTTTCTTATGATGTTTGAATCTTTGTGCCTTTAGCGCTTTAATGATCAATCTGAATCAAAACTAGAATTTGGAAAATTAAATATTTTCGTGCATAGGGTGTAAAAGATATGGAAATAAAACGAGATTTTAGGGATCATATGTGATGTCGTAATCTGACATAAAACAATTGATTATGGGCAGAAATCACTTCCTTCAATGTCAAGAGAGACATTAAAGTGCTTGCTTGGTTTCCCATGGAATGACGATCAATAACTTTTTGAAAAGTTTTGAAAGGCTTCTTTTAAAGGTTAAAGAGGGTGGCTTTTGCTTCAATTCATAATTTCGATACTTAACTTAAGACCGAAACTGAATGAAGTACTTGTGAGATCATTGTGATCTATTGAACAAGTAGGTATGATAAACTTTATAGTGACATGGAAATGAGGAAATCTCAAAAAAAAAAATGGATCTTTTAGGGTTAGAGAAACGTTGGTGAAAAGCAAACTCATAAAGATCACTCAAAAGAAAAAGGAGATTTCATAGCATAACAAGTAAGATCTTGAATTGTTAAATTCACCATCAATTCATTAGTGGTGTTGAATTTTGGGTTTCACTTAGTACATAGTAGCATGAAACTAAGATCATGAACACAGACTTGGTATAACCATAATCTTCAGTGGTTAAGACTGAGAGTCTCAGGGGTTAAATTGATGAAATGAATTATAATGGAGAAAGATGATGGAGATGGTATAAGAAGCGAAAGTACCTCTGCATTAAAGAAAAGATGGACCAAGCAGAAAACTCAAAACTCAATATGAGCAGAGTAAGGTAGCTCATGATTAGAGTGAATCGGATAGCCTGGATTGGGAAAACACAATTGGTATATATCATGTTATTAAGGCTTCACTCAAAATCTGTCGAGGCTTTAGTCAACATACAACAACATGCTTCTAGGGACTCCTAACTAGGAAAACTATTTTCTTGCCTTAGCATTGCCATCGAGAGCCATATTTAAACAAAAAACAAATATATTTTTGAATTTTGTGAGAGTTGATCAATTGAATGAAAGAGAATTTTTTTTTTGGATTTCTTAAATAATTCTTATAAAAAGAAAATATTTTTGGAATTTTATTAGTGGAAAAGAAGTAAAGAAAAGATGTACATGAGAGAACAATTGAAATGCCTTAAAAAATGAACGAGTTCAGAAGGACTGAACCCAAAATAGACCGAACGTTCGGTTCATGGACCAACTTCACCCGAAATAGACCGAACCCGAAATAGACCGAACGTTCGGTTCATTTCAGTTCATTTCGGTTTGCTCTATTTCGCTTGTTACCTTTATGAGAGTGAAGGCAATTTCGGTACAGACTCATCTTGCATCATTCCTAGACCTTGTAGAATCTTATTGAAGCTTGCTTCAGGTAAGACCTTCGTGATTATGTCTGCCAATTGATCAATCGTTCTGACGAAGTGAATTTCTACGTTACCATCTTCGACGTGATCCTTAATGAAATGATATCTCAGTGCTATATGCTTGGTCTTGGAGTGTTGCACTGGGTTGTGACAAATCCTAATTGCACTTTCAGAGTCACAATATAGTGGGATTTTCTTCATGTTTAACCCATAATCCCGAAGTTGACTTTGTATCCATACGACCTGAGAAGTACAAGATGCTCCAGCTATATATTCTGCTTCTGCAGTGGATAGCGAAACACAGGTTTGTTTCTTTGATTGCCAACTGACTAATTTACCATCAAGAAATTGACATCCTCCTGTAGTGCTTTTACGATCCAATCCACAACCACCCAGATCTGCATCTGAAAATGCTTGAACAAAGAATCCTGAGTTGGCTGGATACCATAGGCCGAGAGAGGAGGTTCACTTTAGATAGCGAAAGATGTTCTTCAGGGCTTAAAGATGAGGTTCTCGTGGGTTGGCTTGAAATCATGCAGAGTAACAAACAGAAAATATTATGGCGGGTCTACTGGCTATGAGATACATTAGAGATCCAATCATCTATCGATAAAGTGTTACATCACCTGCTGGTTTCTCCAATGATGGTGTGAGTTTAGTACCAAAAGCCATAGGCACTTTCACTTTGGAGTCTCCCATCATTCCAAAATTTGATAGCAAAGTCTTGGTATATGCTTCCTGATTAATAAAAATGCCTTCGGGTCCCTGTCTAATGTTTAATCCAAGGAAAAAGTTAATTGGACCCATTGAGCTCATCTCAAATTTAGTTTCCATTAACTTTTTGAATTCAGCTGTTAAGATAGGATTTGTGGAGCCAAAGATGATGTCATCAACGTAAATTTGGACTATCATAAGGTGGTTACCTTCTCGCTTACGAAAGAAGGTTGGGTCAACCGAACCTTGTTTGAATTTAGACAATTTTAAGAAACGAGTGAGAGTTTCATACCATGCTCTAGGAGCCTGTTTAAGACCATATACAACTTTGTCAAGAATATAACAATGATCGGGATACTTCTTGTTCACGAAGCCTGGTGGTTGCTCAGCATATATAGTTTCTTCAAGTTCACCATTAAGGAAAGCACATTTGACGTCCATTTGATAGACTTCAAAGTTCTTGTGAGCAGCGTACGCAAGAAAGATATGAACAAATTCTAATGTTGCCACGGGAGCGAAGGTTTCTTCATAATCAATTCCCTCTTCCTGACAATATCCTTTGACGACCAGCCTCGCTTTGTTATGAATGACATTTCCCTCTTTGTCCATCTTGTTTCTGAATACCCATTTTAGACCGACAACCAAAGCATCCTTAGGAGTTGGAATAAGACACCATACCTTGTTTCGTTCAAACTCATTTAACTCATCCTGCATGGCTTGAACCCAGTCTGAATGATCAAGAGTTGAGTTGACAGTCTTTGGTTCAATTTTAGAAACGATTGAATTGAACATGCATAATTCTACTTTTGAAAAAAGTGCAGCCTGTTTCGCTTTGATTTGAGTGCGAGTTAACACTTTTTCTGATGATTCCCCAATAATTTGAGTTTGTGGATGATCTTTGGTCCATTTGACAAGTGGTGGAAACTTTAGATCATAAATAGGATCCAGTTCAGCATTAATTTCTTCATCTAGTTTAGACATGGTGTCATCATCACCAACATTGGTGTTCTGCCCCTCGAAGAATAAACCCTGTTTAGGACTAGCATTTGTATCTTCTTCATTGACTGGAATTTCGGTGGAGCTTGATGAATTTGGCGATGAGTTCTCCCCCTGGAATGAAGGACCTTGATCATGACGGGTAGAGGAACCCTCCCCCTGGACAGTAGGATGGTCACCAAAAGGTTCGGTTGCGTTTGTGTCTTCGGTGTCTTTGGATTGATTTTCAACCATCTTAGCAGCATCGTCTATAACCTCTTTCAGTTTATCAACCTTGTAGTCTTTTGCAGTTGATTCATAGTCAATCGCCTTTTGAGGCTCATCAAACAAGAGCATGAATTGGTCGAAAAGATTCGAGATAGAGATAGTAACCTGACCATTCTTCGAAAATATGTCATGTGATGGATATTCAGTTGGTTTCAACTTCTTAACATAACTATCGTCAGAAGTGACATAGTATGTTTCTTCAATTTTCTTCGGTCGTTTATTGAGAACTCTATACGCCTTGGAGTTCAAGGTGTAGCCTTAGAAAATTCCTTCATCTGCCTTGACATCAAACTTGTTTCGATTCTTTTTGGAGTTGAAAATGAAACATCTTGAACTGAACACATGAAAGAATTTCACGTTTGGTTTTCAGTTGTTCAGGATCTCGTAAGGAGTAATTGAGAATCGTTTATTCAAGTATGATTGATTCTGAGGATAACATGCATTAGCGATTGCATCAGCCCATAAGTACAACGGCAAGGACGCGGAGCATAACATGGTACGAGCAACTTCACATAGT